ATTCATGACCTCATTGCTGACAAAAATAAATGACCTCATTCATGACCTCATTGCTGACAAAAATAAATGACCTCATTCATGACCTCATTGCTGACAAAAATAAATGACCTCATTCATGACCTCATTCATGACCTCATTGCTGACAAAAATAAATGACCTCATTCATGACCTCATTGCTGACAAAAATAAATGACCTCATTCATGACCTCATTGCTGACAAAAATAAATGACCTCATTCATGACCTCATTCATGACCTCATTGCTGACAAAAATAAATGACCTCATTCATGACCTCATTGCTGACAAAAATAAATGACCTCATTCATGACCTCATTGCTGACAAAAATAAATGACCTCATTCATGACCTCATTGCTGACAAAAATAAATGACCTCAGAACTTCAACTTACGAATAAAGCTTGTTTTAGTCGTTATTGAGAAGTTAAACTTTTCAGCAAAGCAAGGACTAGAAGACTTACATAAGTCAAATCCAATCTCTTGACCATCATGAAGTGCTTTGTAAAGTTTCATTAAACTGAACTCAGAGTCTTTGTCATATGTTCCAACAGGTATGTGAATGTTCTTATCTTCATTGTAATAACATTGTATAGCTTCAGGAAACATTTCATTTGCTGTTAAAGCAAGGACGTCTTGTTTGACACCTTTACAACGTGCATGAATGCAACTTCATTAAATCGTTAGTGAGTAAGTCTATGTAGGTCTTCTTTCCACAAAATATTGACTTGTATGCTAAACTTTGTTTTCCAGGTGTTATTTCTGCGAAGTCAGAATGAAATTGACCAAAGTTCTTTCCTATAAGTTCTCTACGTATCTCTTCTTAAACTCTGCTGCAAGCTTTGGTATGTCTTCATTGAAAATATGCATGCTATCACAGTCCTGTAAAATATTTGAAGTCCCATATCTTCAGCAGTACAGAATACTTCATTCATTATTCTCTTCGACATTGACAGAATGTTAACACCAAGTGACAGAAGTTAAAGTGTCTGCAAATACTTTTCGTTAGCTTGAAAATAGTTTTATCTGAACCATCCAAACCTTCGAACTTCACTATATGGTTGTAGTTTCTGATGGCATATCTTATAGCATCTTTGTCATTTACTATGGTTATTTTTGACTCAATAGGAGATAGAATAGTTTTGCCATAAATACTGTTCAGAATGAGCTTATATTTCTTGCAAAGGATTTCCTTCTTTCTTATACTTTAACCTTACTCAAACAACTTCTTTACTTCATCTCTTTTCTAATATCTCTGTTTCCATCGTAATAGTATCCTTGCAACACTTCACATTTGACACCTTGATATTTTATGAGTCTTGTAATGTTATATGGTCAACATACATTAAACAGCAAGTGTTTGAATTCTGGGAACGTTAAGTTCTGGATTTAGTTCAGGGCCACAAACTATTAAAGGAAAGTGTCTATGTATTCCAATCTCTGTTATCTTAATGAGAACAAAGAAGCCAGACATAAACTTTTCACCAATGGGTTCCTTTTGGTCGTCATCGAATAAATGTCTCATGAGATACTCTGTGCTTAACATTTCTTTTTCATAACCTTTGGAATACCTTCTAAAGTATAAAGTCTTGCTATAGCTGATGGATATAATGAAACAGCGTCGAAATCAGCAATGAGTTTCTTTTCGCTCTTTTGTTTCATGTTATCTGACAGCATACATCTTCCACCTTGAATACAGCGTGAAATAAATTTCTTGGTTTATTTGAGAGGTCATATAAATTTCCATTCGGGAAGTACACTCTGTTCTCAAACAATTTGTTAGCAATAGAACAAATACTAACGTAGTCATAAACGTTTAAATCAATTCTTTCATATGTCATGCGGAACTTAACAAAACCTTCTCTTAAAATTCTTACATCTTGTTTGCAATAAAATGAGCTATATTTTTCTAAATCGAAATGGTTCTCATCTATTCTGCAACCTTTGAGAATCTATGTTTTCATGAACGTATCCCGCATCATGGATAAACTTACACGCTTCAGAAATGACACCAGTTCTGTTGTTTCATTTGCTAACAAACAACTGCTGTAGTAGTTGTATGGAAATACTTCTTTCGGTCCTTTGTAAGTTAAACATAGCAGGAAATAGTTTAAGCTTCTTATTTATAACACTGTAAGAGTCTTTTATAATAATTGCCCTTCCTTTATATAAGCCAGTTATTTGCATTGTTCGTGAACCTTTAATGATGGGAGTTCCTTTCACTTCTGTCATGTGTCTTAGATGAAGTTTATATCATAATTGAGGTTATGGAAATATATTAAACTCTTGTCAGGAAGTCGTTCCAAAAATTCTGTTGCACAGTTCTGACCCCAAATGCTTTCACTCACTGAACCATCTTCACTGTCATAACAAATGTTAAAGGCTTTATGAAAGCCGTCTGTGCTACATTCAAAGTCAGCAAAGAAAACGTGCTCAGGAATGAACTTACATTTAGCTTTATTTACTTCTTTTGACTCGGCTTTCTTCTTCAGCTGTACACAATACTTTGGAAGTATGTCAAATCTTTAAATGGTGCAAGGTTCTGTTTATATAAGTCAGTCGTATATGTGAAAAGTTCTCCATAAGAAATAGGTTCGAAATATTTGCACTCCACAAATTTTTCATAACATCCCATAACAGTGTTGTTCTATCATAACGAACTACATATTTGTTCTCTCTCTTTGTAAAATCTTCATCTGTTTCTCAATGTTACTCCACCACACTCCTTCAAGATTTCTATATAGTTGCGAATGAAATATGTTGTCATTGGTAATCTTTCGTTTAGCATGTATGGTCTTCAACAAGAAGTAAGTCAAGAGTTTAACAGTTTCACATTCTTTTGGTATGTATCTCTTTATTTCATTATTGTCTTGAGTCATTGAAGTAACCAATGGTAACATTAAATGCTATACCTGTTGCGTCAGAAATTTCTTGTACTTTACTTTGAGGAAAGTCTCTAACACGAATGACTTCTCTCATGTGGTCAATAGTTTCTTCATTTACTCCAGCCTGAATGCAAGCATAAACGAAGCAGTTATCTTCTGTCATAAGTGTTGCAGTTCTTTTGTTCAGTTCATTGAAGATTTGGTAGCGCTCAAGATTTATAGGTAATGTGCAAAGATACTTCCAGAACTGACCGCTTCTCTTCTTATAAAACTTCTTTTCACCATTATCTTTTCCAAAAGCTTTCTATAAGTGCTGGGTTCCTGTTTGCTTAAGAGCTTCCAAAATGGCTTTCTGTCATTTGTCAGTGTGCTTTCATCTCTATATGGTCTCTTTTTTGGTTTGCCTTTCTTTACATCTGACATCGTTAAGCCTTCATATTCTGTTAAATCATACATCTTTATTTCAGTAAGATTCTTTATGTTTGTCAAGAAGAAGTCATAGTGCATTTCAACAATACCTGCAGCATTTGCTTCTATCTCTGATATAAAGTTCTCCTTCAAGAGCTGATGTAGTAATGTTCCAATATTATTGAGGTTTAACGTAGAACATTCATACTTTCCACCAAGTTTATAACATACCATCCATCTTTGTTGGGAGTTTATTTTAATCTTCTCTAAGAGTCTCATGAAAACCTTACCGAAATGTTTGTGTAAGTAGTCTCTGTTTGGTTCATCTAAAGCTCGATGTTAAAGTCAATGAGTCTATTGCCTGTCTTAACATTCCTCTTCCTATTCTCTTCATCTTTCTTTAACCATCTCTCACCTTCTTTTGGTTGTCGTCAATGAACGAAGGACATCGTTAGCTTGCGAACTTGTTCTATAGCGCTCTTAAACATCTCTCTTCTCTGTTGTTTCAGTGTGTCGTTCTTCTTCTTGTTTCACCAACGTTTGCATTTGTTATGTCAAACATTTCTCTTCTTACTTCATGAGGTACTGAACGTCTATGATATAAGTCAATAGCAACGTCATTTAACGGAAATGCTCTTGCATGGACTTCGTCCTCGCCGCGTTGCGGCTTTATGAACTCATGAATTCTATCATAACTTATTGCACCATTATAGTCATTGAGGATGTCAGCGAGTGCTTTTTTGTTTGTCGCGTAATGCTTTGCAACATCTATGTTTAGCTTCTGTAAGAAGTAGTTGTTTTATTTCCGAGTGTTTCTAACTTAGACAACTTCCGATACATCTTTTAGTAGGAAATAAAAAAAATATTTTTTGAAAAAAAGTAGATTAGATTTTTTCAAGTTATTTTTCAAAATAATTTAATATTTTTATTTTAATGAAACACATGCAAGATTGCAAGTTCTTTCATACAATGCTCTCGCTACTGCCATCAAGAATGAGTTCAATAATGCTTTCAAATGTTAATGTTATCTTTAACAAGAAGTTTGTGAAAGAATCTAAGTGTTGGTCAGTATGTCAGACCATTAGCTATCGTCATTGACCGCAAACGTTATACTTCACAAGAGTTAGCAGTAGTTTTTGAAACAAAGAGTTTCTTCGTGAATGTCAAAGATATCATTATACTGTCATAAAGAACTCTAACGTTGACTTCTTCAGTATTGCTTTAAATCTTTCCGAACAGAAAGAATATAAGAAAGGTGAAACATCTGTGAAATATTATCCTTCATCTCTGAAGACAATAACGAACAAAGATGTTATACAGAAATTCTTACCAAAGGTTGAAGAAGCTTCTATTGACATTGACGAAGGAAGTGAAATGGTTGAAGAAATTGACCCTGAAGCTTTATAAGAAAATTTATTTTTGAATAACTGATGGTGTCACCACGTCACTATGTGTCACCAGGTTAATTAACTTCTCTTAAAAATGATGACAACATGACATTTAGACAACAGCATGGGTTGAATGCAAAAATATTTTTAGGAGAGAATGCAGCATTTATGAATTATTTTTGAAGAACTGAAAGTGTCACCACGTCACCACGTCACCAGGTTAATTAACTTCTTTTAAAAATGATGACAACATGACATTTAGACATCACAGCAGGATTAATGCAAAAATAAATTCAAATCATACTTTATAAAGCTTCATTTACAGGTATTTCATCGTCAGTAAATGAATCCTCATTATCGTTTGGTTCAACCTGTTTATATAATCCTTTCATTTCTTCTTTCAAAACATAACACCATGTTTGTTTACCATCTATTCTTCTCTGTTTCCTTTCACATTTATCCTTAATGCTCATTTGAAAGTTTTTGTCTTTCATGTCTGATGGTTTGCAGAATAGAGCATTTTTACACGTCATACCTGCACACAATTCATCATAATGTGTATTTATCCATACATCTAAAGGATTTGTTGATAATTCTATTAAATCTTGTTTGGCTTCAGTCATCGGTATGATTCGTACATTAAATGATGAAAGGTCGTAATTGATAAAATATGTTAAAAGGTTATCATAAAATTCCTTTGTGCATGAATTCATCAAATTCTTGAAATAATCAAATTGACCCTTGAATTTACCATTAACTCTTAAAACTACGTATCTTCTGTCTCCAACTTCAATTTTGACAGGGTAGACGTTGTTAGTTACGAAAATGAAGTTTGCAACGTTCTGAGCAGTTCTTCTGGGTTGATTCTTTTCATTAATTCTAATCTCATTATCCGTAATAATTGATTTCAAAGCGTTGAAGTTTGCGAGTCTGTCTTCACCTACATTCTTGAGTTCATTAAGTACAAGAAACATTTTATTCTCAACTACTGAGTTGAAATTACCCGTTAGCTCACTTATTTCGGTAATGTTTTTACATGAATAACCAGCGAGAAGTTCAGAAATAATGTCTGTAAATCTGTTTTTACCTGTTCCCTGAAGTCCTTTCAAAATAATTGCTGTTTCATTCTTGATTCCTGGATGTTGAATCATTGATGCAATCCAGCCGAGAAGGTATTTATACACTTCATCGTTATTATCACAAATGGCTTCTTTAATGAAATTCATAAACATCTCAATTTTTGAGTAATCAGGCTTTTCGAGAACGTTGTATTTATAACCTTGAAACGTTGAGAAAACATCTGGGGAATCAGATTTAAACCAAACACCCTTAACGGTTAATGAGGATAATTGATTTAGTAGTACGTCCCATGCTGTTATGGTTTTACCTTCTTCTTTAAATAATTTAATCATTTTGAGTGACTCTTTCATGTTTGATTGAAGAACGAATGATATTTGATTCATTTTATCGTGTATGTTGTAATCTTTCTGAATGAAATATTTATTTCCACAATCTACAAAACGGATTACACGTGATAAATCCTCAATTACTTCAGAACTGTTTTTATACTGATGATTTTCAGCCTTGCGTCTAATATCTGTTATCAAAAACGAGTCATCAAGTTTTATATCAAATGTTATTTTTGGCTTACGTAATAAAGGTAAAACGTATTCATCATAATATTCCTTTGGATATAGTTTTAGAATCTTCACTAAAACAAATGGAGAAGTCATTAAATGTGCATATCTACTACGTGCTTTTTCAAAATTACTTTTTGCATTTTCAGTTAAATTGCAGAAGTTATAAACGTTATCGTATGCTTCATTAATTAAATGATTATGTAACGAATTAATTGCTTGAAACAGTGTGAATAATGTAACTTCTTTTTCTAAATTCATGTTTCCACCGTCATTATGTACTTCAAAATCACTAATACCATCGACTATGCTTTGAGCTAGTTTATCGTCAATGTTTACATCTTTGTTTTCATTCATGATAGTCTTTATTTCTTCGTTCTTCTGTTCAACTCTTACCTTAATATTCAAATCATTTAATATATCATTCACTGTTCTAGTTAATGTTGAATCATAACTTCCACGAATGAATGAGTATGTATTGATTGGTTCTGTTGCATTCTTGCGAACTCTTGAATCAGCCATAACCACTAATGAACGTTTTGAATCATCAATAGAAGTCATGATATCAATATCATAATCATTGCAGGAATAGCATTTAATCATTCTGTTCGAAACTGCATAGAAGAAATTAGTGTTGCAATAAATGTGAAGACCTCCTGAAGCGGTTTTAACGATAACATCTTTATCCGAAAGTTTTGATAAAATATCTTTTCTAACCGTTTCTTTAAGTTCATCATTGTATGATTTATTGATATCAACATCTATAATCGTTAAATTTGATATTTTATTTACTAATAAAGCCGTACCAGTTTTCCTTCCTCTTCCTCCATCGTGTTTGAGGTAGTTATGTAAATCAATCTTGTTTTCACCAATTCTTTCGTTGAGGGTTTTAGTTTCTGCCACAACTAATTCCTCAGCTAATGAATCAATAACTTTTTCATCAGAAACGATATAGTTGCTGTTATTGTTTGTTGCTGTCATTTATATAGGAATAAAAAAATAAAAATAATTTTAAAACTAACTTTATTTTTGGGCTGCATCAAATTTCCGGGAATGTTGTCTAAATGTCATGTTGTCATCATTTTTTAAAGAAGTTAATTAACCAGGTGACACATGGTGACGTGGTGACACTGAAAACATTTACGAAAAAATTAATGAAAACATTAACGTAAACATAAACGATAAAATTTATTTCCAGGACTGTTGTCGAAATGTCATGTTGTCATCATTTTTAAAAGAAGTTAATTAACCTGGTGACATGGTGACGTGGTGACACTGAAAACATAAACGAAAACATTAACGAAAACATTAATATATAAAATTCATGAAAATTCATGAGTGTAGAAATGAGGGTATAAATACCCATCTACCCTAAAAATTATTTTTGGTCATGGGCTATGCCCCGCCGCTTTGCGTCTTTATGTTAAAATAAATGGTACCATTAATGATATCATGACTGTTCTCATTCATGTCTGATTTACATCCAATGAAAAAGTTTAGAAGAATTTTCTTATTCTTTCTGGCTTATTTTTATCTTTCCAGTACTCCCGCTCTAATGGTCCCAGATGTGTTGGCTTCGACTCTCTCAAGTTCTTAGATGGTATAACATCTTCAACGCCTCCTTCATATCTTACTTTATAAGTGTCATCGTTTATGTTATAGCCAAGTATTTCAATAACCACTCCTCGCTTTGCTTCGTCAATGGTTTCAGCGAGTTTGCCATTACTACTTTCGACTAATTTATGTCGAGGGTAAAACGCAATAGAGTCGTCGGCAGCTTTTATAAGATATCCATTACCTTGCGTAGAGTCTACGATATAATAATTTCGACTTAACCTTAAACGTTTCTTTGTCAACGGTTTGTCGTCAAGAACTACACGAACTTTTGTTCCAGGAATGAGGGTAAATTGTGTTGAATTTCTGATATTTTGTGTTTGGCTTCGTTTCTTTTGTATATACTTTTCTTCTTGTTGTTGTGTCATTGAATTTGGTGTATGTCCTGTTGTAGAGTGTGTTGAGGAATTATATACTTCGAGAAAATGTTTCATTGTTTCTTCGGTAAAGTCTCGCTCTTGGTTTAAATCTCTGAGCGTTCTTATGAAGCGGTTTATGATGCCGAGTATGTTATGGTTATGGTCTTCAGTAGTGTAGTGAGTTATGTTATGCTTAATGAGAAATTCTGTGATTTCATTACTGAGGTATGCACCGTCTTGGTCTGATGTTAATGAAGTGGGATGATGTTCTGCCACGAACGTCTGCAAAACTCTTAAAACTTCATGAGTTCATTTATTTTTCATTGGATATGCATATGCTTTGCGAGTGTTAACATTAATGAAGATGAGGAATGGTTTATGTCCTCCTTTTCTGCTTTGAATGAGAGTGTCAAATTGGTATGCGTCAGGAGCGTTGGAGTAAATTGGTAAAAAGTAGTCGTAAGGGTTTATTTTTGTTTGATGTACAACATTTTTGTCAAAGAACCTTTTCACTTCAGCTCTGTTAGTAAATCCCCAACTCTTTGCAGCTTCATTGAATTTCTTAAATGACCTCCATGGATGTTGTTCGAATACTTCTTTCAAGCTCATTTATGTAAAGTTAAAGATTTTATTCAAGACGGTAAGCCTTGACCCAAAGGGTCTAGGCTCAAGCGCGTTCATTGAACGCGGTACCATGCGAATACAGTCACAAATGGTGGCATATAATCTGCACCCGAGCCTGTTGGATTTGTTGTGAAAGTATGGACATGATTTCCTCCTGGTTCAGTTGGTCGAAAAGTCTTTTTTGCTGCATTGTTATAAGATGGAGATAAAACGTCATTGCCAGCTTCATAGTCTGAGTTGTATAATGGGTGGTCTCTTAATGAGTGGCTATGGTCGCCAGAAAAGTTTGTCGTTCCTGTATGAGTGTGCGCAGGTAAGTTTGCTTCTTTAATTTTCTTCGAACCTCCTGTTTGCTTTGAATAGTTAGCACAGTATAAGAATTTATCTACAATCTGCTTCCACGTACCAAAACCTAAAACTGTTGCTGGATTTGTTGAATTCATCGACGTATAAATAGAGCCTATAGGATATATGGTTTGAAGAATCTGAGCCTTCATTGTTTGAAGTTCATGTTTAACGTTTATAACTGTATTGCCATCTTCAATATTTATATTGTTTGTTATTAAACCATTAGGAAAAGTAGGAGGATAAATTCTTTGTTCTTGTACAGTTGCACCGTTTCTTTCCTGTTTTTTGTTACTATTTCGATGCATGCTTTAATTTCTTTAATCTTGATTGTTTGAAATTCTTCATGTGTATGGTTCTTGTCGGCTTTTCCATTAAGCGCAGCATTTACTTCCGACTTCTTTGCATAATTTTCATCTACATAAGTTTTGTCAGCTTTCTTATCTAACATTGCTGGTAGTTCGTATGCTTCAAAGTTTCTGGCATGACCTTCAATGTTCATACATCTGTTATCTAAATTGTTTAGTGTATCTTTTACGCTTGTACTTGGATTCTCTAAAGGTGCACTTGAACCAAGGGTATAGTTCAATATTATGTCGTCTGCTCTAACAGTAGTGAAGGATTCATGTGTATGGTTCTTGTCAGCTTTACTATTTAATGTAGCTTGAAGTTCATTTATATCGGAGATATTGTGTTTATGAGATTTCAAAACTTTGTTCGTTGCGTCAAGTTCATCTTTGTCAGCTTTACTTTTAATAGCATCTTCAAAAGTTATTTTTGCCTTAACTCTCAAAGCAAATCTTGGTTCAACTAATACACCGTTAACAGAGAAGTATGAAGCATAAATTTCATCGTTATAACCAAATGCTTCTGGTGCTTTACCTGTGTCATACTGTACAGTACAGTGTATGTCATAACCTTTAGCACGAATGTATTTATATCTTCTTTCATTAACATCTTTTGTCTTCACTTCTTCTTCAGTTCGTGTTAAATATCCATGGTAGTCCGTTATAATCTGTTCGTCTGAACTTATATAATGAACATGGCTTTTATCTGCTTTTTCGGCTAATTTCTCTTCTATCTCATTTATTTCAAGTTCATGCCTACCACCACCCCCGAAGAAGTATTTTTCTTCAGCTCTTGAAGAACGTCCACTTCGCCATCTTTGGTGTCAATAATGAACTTTGAGTTAAAACCTTTCCTGTCTTAATGGATGTTTGTAAAACTTCTTCTTCACCGTGTTCGGGGTCATGGTCGTCATCATATCTTGTGAAATCAGAGATGTTGTCATACATTAAGCATATCTGTCTCAAAAGTTCTGCTATTTGAAACTGGAACGAAAGATATTACAGAACTTTCATCATCTCCTAAAGTCAAGTCTGCTTTCTTAAGTATTTCTTGAATGTATGCAATGAGAACAGAGTACCTTGGAAAATATTCGAACAATATTTCATTAGCTTGTTGGTTTGGTGGTTCTTCTGGAGTTTCTGTTGTTTCAGTTCCTTCTGTAGGTTCTGTTGGAGTTTTCTGCATCTCTTGATTCAATGCTCTTGCTCTCAAAGACCTAAATGTTAGAGCACCAGGTTTTACAAAGGACTTTATAAATGCTTTAATAGTTCCTGGTAAGTTATTGTTAGCATTAAGTAAGTTTCTTATGCTTCCATCATGTACGTCCATAGCACTATGTAAAAAATCTATACTTTTCTTGTAGTCAGCAATAGACTTGACTGTGATTTTTTAAAGATTTGTCAATACCTTTAAGCCAATCTTCATGCATGTCTGATACTGAGCCAAGAATATCAATTTGCTTCCTTTAGTGTATTTTGTGCTTCTCGTAAAGTATCCAATCCCGTACGTGCATTGTTTGCTATACGTCTTACAGTATCTATTTGACTCCTTGTTTCTTGCATCCAACCAGATAAAGTTTTTAATAGTATCCGAACCATTTGAAATGAAGTTCAAAGCATTTTTAACGTCATCTAAAACTTCTTCACCAAGTACTGCCCATATCTTTCCGATTTGGTATTGAAGAACTCCATATGAAGCAGCTGTTAAACCAGTATTTATAAGGTTCCATATCCATGATTTAGCAGTTTTTCCATCCTTTCCATCTTCACCATCCAAACCGTTTTCGCCTTGAGGTCCTTGTATTCCTTGTATTCCTTGTATTCCTTGTGGTCCTTGAGGTCCAGTGTCACCCTTCTCTCCTTTCAGTTCATCTTTATGTTCGTTATAATATTCTAATGTCATAAGGTGTACATCATTACTGCTACCAGCAACGCCGAGAATTTGTTTCTCATTCATGACTAAATTCTTTAGGCATTTAATGTTGTCGTCAAATCGAAAGCTCTTTAACAATTCAATGAGAACATTTAATACTTTCACTAATGAGGCATCTACTGTAGAATTTATATATTGCACCGTTCCATCATTTATGATAGGAACTTTACTTATTGTAATGAATGGGTCATAAGTGTTAAAAGTATCGAAATCAATGACTTTTTTAGTTTTTCCATCGTCAATGACTAAATCATTGCCTTCAATGGTTAAAGTTGAGTTTTCGTTTACTAGTTCAAGTGCTCTTCTTGCTTCATTTGTTTCATACGCATATGCAGCAATAGTCATATTTTAATGAGAATAAAATGTTGTTCTATTTGCAAAGTACAGACCCAAACGAATACGGGACAGTAAAGCTACAAACAAACTTAGGACTTCAGAATGAAGCACTTGCTTTCAGAGTTGTTGACTTCAATACTATCGCAACTTTTGTCATAACAGATGAAACAGATTTCATAGAGATTGAAATAGATGACAAAAGAAGTTTTATAACATTTCCTAACAGAGCCGAGTACAGAATAGCTAAAATTGCTGGAGTCATAAATACTCTCATAAATGAAGAAACTATTGACAACATAGATGTCGAACTCTCTTCTGAGGGAACATTGAAGTTCAGTTATGCGAAGGAGTTTAAGATAACACGAATGAGTCATAGAGTTCAATTGCTTCTGGGTGCATACCATATGCAACTACCTTTGAAAAGTGTTAGTGGAGTTATTGAGATGAAATCTGTTCCATACGTATGTTATGGCAATTGTTTGTACATTGAGTCTAAAATAGCTAATGTCACAGGTATTTCAGGAGTTAATAGTAAAGGTTCAGTAGAATATAAATCCTTCTGTTATGAAGTAAATTCAATGTTCATTCCAAACGTTCCTGTCATAGCAACTCATTTAGGTAAATGGGTTCGCATTAGTCCTCATAATTTGAAAGACATGCAATTCAGACTTGTTGACTTTCAAGGAGAGCCTGTAGAACTGAAGGCACCAGTGCGAATGACTGTTGAAGTTGACTTTTTAGAAAATATTAAATGCAACAGCTTACAAGAGAACTCAGAGCTAAAAATATAAAGTATGAATGTTATGTATTAGGTCATGAACTTTGGTTGTTGCTGTTTGATGAAACAAATGAGTTAGTTATGTCAGTTAAGAGAACAGAAAAATATTGTGTTAGTGAAAACTGCACCAAGTCAATAAGATTAGGTTTGCATTATGAAGATGAGTTCGATACTGTTGAAGAAGTTTTGGATAGATATTACAAATTGCTAACTTGAAATTTTTTGACTGACGGCGCAAAGCGCCAAGACCGAAGGTCCTGACTGCTTTAATTTACTAAAACATATTTCAAGCAAAGTTTATATTCTGTTGAAAGTTTTGTATATTCATTCGAATATTTATACTTAAACTCAACTCCTGTAGTTCCTGGAGTTTCAATGATGCGGATGTTACCTATTTTCATGAATAGTGGAGTTTGACCACAGCATTCGATTTCAGGGTCGAGATGGTCAATGACACATTGCTTTCCTGTTATTCGTGATATAACATTTTCTAAATCCTCCTTTGTTAGAATTATTTGGTTCTTGCTTATAAGATTTACCAAAAGCTTCTTATCGTCTTTGAGTAAAATTGTTTGGTATAACTGAAGAAGGTAATGGTCTACGTTATCTGAAGGATTTGTTTGAACATTTGTGTAAGGATTGTCGTTGGCTTCTCTTGAAAGAATTTGGTCCAGTGGTGGATACTCTAACTTAACATCTGATGTAGCGTTAGCGTTTGATGCTGAGTTTAAATTCACGGATTTCAGTTCTGGTTCTTTTTCTTTCAAACACTCTGAACTATAGTTCTTTATGACAATATTGTTTGTCGTTCGTGAGTCAACATTTGATGTTGGTTCAATTGGAACATTAACGGCACCAGCTAAGATGGATTTGCTTCTCATTTCATATAGAATAAAAACCTTTTATATGTATGAAATGAACAATATACTCGACAAGGGTTTGAATGTAAAGCTAACGAATGAAAATATTGTTGAATTCACTGAGACAGGAGCTGTGTATAAAGATGTAGAACTACTGAACAAAAGAGCTAAGGGAAGAAGCAGGAACATGAACAAAGGGTGGAAGCCTATAAAAATTTATGTCAATGATGGCTCAGGAGGTTCAAACATAAAGTATGCAGAAAGTTATAGAGTTTATGCTCGCAAAGGTGAAAAGCCTTCATTTAAGAACAGCTATTCTAACGCATATCCTCAAAAGCTAACGGATGGGGAAGTGGATGATATGAATGACAGCAAAAATATTAACAGAAATGGCGACAGAGATGCATGGAATTTGTTTACCATCAGTCAATTGAAGGTTAAACTTTAAAACAATGTTGGTCGTTCCCATGGAATATTTTTGACTTTAATGGTATTAGTCATGATATGAATCTCAAGGTATGAACGAGGAGAGATGAGAGACTTATATGCTTCCCAAATTTCTTCAAAAGGTAATGTTATACCTGACTGTTTCCAAATGAGTTCAATATCATAACGTGAGAAACCTTGAAAGATAACGAAGTCGGTTATGAGACGTTTTATGTTTAAAGCAAGAAAACGCCATGTTTGCATAAGTATTGCTACAGTTAAATGGTAATGTCTGACTTTAGTTATGATGTTAGCTAATGGTGAGTCAGGCTTTGAAACTAAACCTTTTCCGGCGAAGTCGTCGCAAACGAGCAGAGTGTTTGAAGGATATTTTTTGAAGGGGTATTTTGAAAGTTTTGATAGAATGTAGTTTGTCAGTCGTTTCATATCGTAAACTCCTGAGTATTGACGTAAGTGGTGTTTGCCAATAATTCTTTCCATCTCCTCAGAAGTCTTTTGCATTCCTGACTGTATAAATTCAACGATGGCATAATATTTCCTCTTACGTCGAATGTAACGTTGAAGAAATTCAATGAGTTCACTGTCTGGAACTTTAACGACAGAGGCTTGAACTTTTGACATAAATGTTTTCGCTGTTGAATACATAGAGTCTGAAGTTGCTGATATAATGATTTGGTCATAGTAAGAGTCGTTTCCTAAACGCTCTGTTATGAGTATATGACGAATTAAATTAAATGTCTTACCTGAACCCATCTTTCCACAATAGAAATAAACACCATTTGAACAGAACTCATAGTCCTTACTGAAAGGAAGAATGAGAGAACTGTTGAGCTTTTCACTGCTTTCATTCATGTCTTCATCTACGTCATGTATTAAATGCTTCATTTTATCTCCATTAAAAATGCAAGTCAGAAATATTCAGAACATAGCACCGAGTCTAACTGACAAGAGTATAAAGATATACTATGAACATGTTATGATGAAACCAACCAAAATTCAAGAAAGTCAGTATACTTATGAATATCCAAGACACTGGGTAGAGTATGTAGGAGGTGAGAAAGCTATTGAAATCAGACAGGTTCGAAGTATTCCAGCAGGAAGAACAATATTATTGAAGAACTTTAATGTTTTGAGATATAATGATGAAACAAAGAAGCAAGATAGTTTCCCTGTTGCTGTGTATGTGAACTTAGATACAGGAGATGACATGAAAGTTTTTAATACAAAGCTTCAAACGGTAGTGAGAGAACAACTGACTGCGGAAGGGCATCCATTACCTTCAGAAGTTACCATAGCATATAATTTTGAAACAAACTCAATAGATTTTAAAGTCATCTCTGCAAAGAAGTCAGGTTTTACATTTAATGAAGCAGATGTATATTCGAATGAAAACTTCAAAGCTATTGCATGGTTAGATAATGACGATTGCTTTAAGAAAATCTTTAAATTCAGTGACTCAAAGATGTCAATAGATGACCTTCGTGGAATGTTACCATCGACGTTTACAGTAGAAGGTTCAGCAGGATTGCTTACAAGATTGTCAATTGGTGGTATTTGATCTCGTGAAAACATTGTTATAAAATCCAGTATAAGTGAATTTGCTGAAGAATCTATATTATGTCTTTCAAACTACATGTATTCGCCGCCGAAGCATTATAGTATAACAAACTTTGTCAGTAAGTTTAACATAAGACTTGTCGAACCTTCTTCAATGAAAGATGTTGTGCTACCAAAAGACGGAAAGGATGGACTCATTATTGAGATGATTTTAATAGCATATTAAATGAGCTTGTTCTTGAAGGTCATTCATGATGAAATAACTGTTGTAGAAGATGTTAGCAATTGTTCAGACATTTTGAAGCGTATAGATGATATAAGAAATAAGTTAGATAGACCGCAAAGTGGTGAGGGCGAAGCCCGTGAGAACGCTTATGTTTCATTGACTTTCTCCAGTAACGAGAACTTTTATGAGATAATATTGAAGAGAGATGATTTTAATATGGTGTAAATGGTAGCTTGGGCAGCTTTAGGCGCAATGGGAACAAAAGCATTAGCATTTGGAGCAAAAGCACTTGGAGCTTATGACGCAGTAAATAAAATGAGTGGAGGAAGGTTTCGAAGACATTAGATGCAAATAAAGGGAAGATTGGAGGCTGGGTTGCAAAGAAGTTAAGATTAAATAAAACAGGGCTCATAAATAAAGCATCCAATTTGGTTGCGACTGAGTCAGAAAATGCTTTAGGAAAGGACGATGAGTTTGCAAAACACGCAAAAGACTTTAATGACCAGATGAAAGGTGAAACAATGCATTTAAATAGAGTCGATGGAACTAAAGAAAATGTTTCTTCTCCACCAGCGGTTTATCCATACGGACCTTATGGAATGTATGGAAACCCTTATGAACGACCATTTGACCCATTGACTGGTGGAAGTAATTGGTATCATTATGGACGAAGAAGAAAGACAGTCAAGTTGGAGACAGACGTGAAGAAAGCAACTAAAAAGAAACCAAGGAAGAGAGTTATAAAGCAATGAATTCAACAGGGTGAAAAAAGAGGTGAGATTTCACCACTTCACCTAAATTTATTTTTGTGCTATGTTTTCATACGTGTGAGGGTGGTGATATCATTAATTTTTAAGTTTATTTTTAAATAAATGTGGGAACAAAAATAAAGCATATCTACTCAACAGGAATGAGACCCTTACTGACTATGTATTCGTTTAATGCTTGATGAAAACAATGGTACATATTATCGTATGGGTATACACAACGTCTGTTTCCATCGTCGTCGTATATGTAGAGCTCAAATCCAGTCCAACCTTCTTTTGTACAATATGTAGCTTTATTTAAGTATGCATTTATGTAGATAAGGCAATTTTCTTCATCGCTCCAGAAATAATTTTTCGTCATTGTTGAAATAGTTTTCGTTCCTCTGCGACCATAAGGAATGTATGCAATGAACTTTGCGTCATAAGGGATTGTAATATATTCAGGGTTTCTTTCATCCTCAATGGGTCTGTCTTTGTTAAAATGCATGTTTCTCAGTTTTACTTGAGTTTTGAATAGTTCACGGAAACGTTCTGGGAAAGAGTCTATCTCATACCGAAATGGCTCACCAAAAAGGTGACATTTTTGGCGCCAATAATTTGATTTTTCTGATTCTTTCTATTTAGATATATTTATTTAATATTCATATTCCTTTATATTGCCTCATATTATTTCCCATTTTTAATCATATTATACAAATCTTTAATAATTTTTAATGTTTTGAGCTTCAAAATCTTGTTCTAACTATTTTCATTCATATATCCTAGAAAAAATCAAAAAGTTTTTTAGAAATAAAAATGTTTGTATGTAAAGTATTGAAAATATTCTAGATGAGAAGACATTCTCCAGAAAGTATTTCATGAATTTTCATAAAAGATAAAAATAAAGTTAGTTTTATTTTTATTTATTTTTTTATTTTGTATGTAAAGACAGTAATGTCAAACATTGAGTTTGAAACAGTTAGAAAGATTGACAATGACACCAAAGTGGTTAGAATTGGTGATTTAAACGTAAGATACTGTAAGAAATACAACAAATATTCTTTGTCAGACATTATAACGCCTTCTGGAAAGAAAACAAAGGACTGGGTTAGAATTGCTTCTACTCAAAGAAGACTTAACATTACTGAAGGAAAAAATAACAGAATATTTCGACAACTTCAAAGAGGAAGAATAAAAAAAAATCTCGTCGGGTGCCACGTTAGGACCATAGTGGAGAAAACCATGATAAAAAACAAAACCTTTCGTCAAGTTTATTTTGTTTTTACCATTTAATTGTTTCCATAAACGCTCCATGTCGAACATAATTGACGAAGAGAGAATCGTCTGATCGTCAAGTTTATTTTGTTTTTACCATTTAATTGTTTCCATTAACGATAACATTAACGATAACATAAACGATAACATAAACGATAACATTAACGATAACATTAACGATAACATTAACGATAACATTAACGATAACATAAACGATAACATAAACGATAACATTAACGATAACATAAACGATAACATAAACGATAACATAAACGATAACATTAACGATAACATAAACGATAACATTAACGATAACATAAATGCTCCATGTCAATTATGTTCGACACTGATAACATTAACGATAACATAAACGATAACATTAACGATAACATAAACGATAACATTAACGATAACATTCATTTTTGCATTAATCCTGCTGTGTTGTCAAAATGTCATGTTGTCATCATTTTTAAGAGAAGTTAATTAACCTGGTGACACATAGTGACGTGGTGACACCATCAGTTATTCAAAAATAAATTTTCTTATAAAGCTTCAGGGTCAATTTCTTCAACCATTTCACTTCCTTCGTCAATGTCAATAGAAGCTTCTTCAACCTTTGGTAAGAATTTCTGTATAACATCTTTGTTCGTTATTGTCTTCAGAGATGAAGGATAATATTTCACAGATGTTTCACCTTTCTTATATTCTTTCTGTTCGGAAAGATTTAAAGCAATACTGAAGAAGTCAACGTTAGAGTTCTTTATGACAGTATAATGAGTATCTTTGACATTCACGAAGAAACTCTTTTGTTTCAAAACTACTGCTAACTCTTGTGAAGTATAACGTTTGCGGTCAATGACGATAGCTAATGGTCTGACATACTGACCAAACTTAGATTCTTTCACAAACTTCTTGTTAAAGATAACATTAACATTTGAAGCATTATTGAACTCATTCTTGATGGCAGTAGCGAGAGCATTGTATGAAAAGAACTTGCAATCTTGCATGTGTTTCATTAAAATAAAAATATTAAATTATTTTGAAAAATAACTTGAAAAAATCTAATCTACTTTTTTCAAAAAATATTTTTTTATTTCCTACTAAAGATGTATCGGAAGTTGTCTAAGTTAGAACACTCGGAAATAAAACAACTTCTTACAGAAGCTAACATAGATGTTGCAAAACATTACGCGACAAACAAAAAAGCACTCGCTGACATCCTCAATGACTATAATGGTGCAATAAGTTATGATAGAATTCATGAGTTCATAAAGCCGCAACGCGGCGAGGACGAAGTCCATGCAAGAGCATTTCCGTTAAATGACGTTGCTATTGACTTATATCATAGACGTTCAGTACCTCATGAAGTAAGAAGAGAAATGTTTGACATAACAAATGCAAACGTTGGTGAAACAAGAAGAAGAGACGACACACTGAAACAACAGAGAAGAGAGATGTTTAAGAGCGCTATAGAACAAGTTCGCAAAGCTAACGATGTCCTTCGTTCCATTGACGACAACAAAAGAAGGTGAGAGATGGTTAAAGAAAGATGAAGAGAATAGGAAGAGGAATGTTAAGACAGGCAATAGACTCATTGACTTTAACATCGAAGCTTTAGATGAACCAAACAGAGACTACTTACACAAACATTTCGGTAAGGTTTTCATGAGACTCTTAGAGAAGATTAAAATAAACTCCAACAAAGATGGATGGTATGTTATAAACTTGGTGGAAAGTATGAATGTTCTACGTTAAACCTCAATAATATTGGAACATTACTACATCAGCTCTTGAAGGAGAACTTTATATCAGAGATAGAAGCAAATGCTGCAGGTATTGTTGAAATGCACTATGACTTCTTCTTGACAAACATAAAGAATCTTACTGAAATAAAGATGTATGATTTAAACAGAATATGAAGGCTTAACGATGTCAGATGTAAAGAAAGGCAAACCAAAAAAGAGACCCTATAGAGATGAAAGCACACTGACAAATGACCAGAAAGCCATTTTGGAAGCTCTTAAGCAAACAGGAAACCCAGCACTTATAGAAAGCTTTTGGAAAGATAATGGTGAAAAGAAGTTTTATAAGAAGAGAAGCGGTCAGTTCTGGAAGTATCTTTGCACATTACCTATAAATCTTGAACGCTACCAAATCTTCAATGAACTGAACAAAAGAACTGCAACACTTATGACAGAAGATAACTGCTTCGTTTATGCTTGCATTCAGGCTGGAGTAAATGAAGAAACTATTGACCACATGAGAGAAGTCATTCGTGTTAGAGACTTTCCTCAAAGTAAAGTACAAGAAATTTCTGACGCAACAGGTATAGCATTTAATGTTACCATTGGTTACTTCAATGACTCAAGACATAATGAAATAAAGAGATACATACCAAAAGAATGTAAAACTGTTCGAACTATTGACTTACTTCTTGTTGAAGACCACTACATGCTAAATGAAAGATTACCAATGACAACATATTTCATTCGCAACTATATAGAAATCTTGAAGGAGTGTGGTGGAATGAACATTGAGAAACAGATGAAGATTTATACAAAGAGAGAGAACAAATATGTAGTTCGTTATGATAGAACAACACCGTTATGGGATGTTATGAAAACATTGTGGGAGTGCAAATATTTCGAACCTATTTCTTATGGAGAACTTTTCACATATACGACTGACTTATATAAACAGAACCTTGCACCATTTAAAGATTTGACATATGCTCCAAAGTATTGTGTACAACTGAAGAAGAAAGCCGAGTCAAAAGAAGTAAATAAAAATAAGTGTAAGTTCATTCCTGAGCACGTTTTCTTTGCTGACTTTGAATGTAGCACTGATGGAGTTCATAAAGCTTTTAACATATGTTACGACGGTGAAGATGGTTCAGTGAGTGAAAGCATTTGGGGTCAGAACTGTGCAACAGAATTTTTGGAACGACTTCCTGACAAGAGTTTAATATATTTCCATAAC